GTAGGCTATGGGCTATGGGCTGTGGGCTATGGGCTGCAGGCTATGGGCTATGGGCTGTAGGCTATGGGCTATGGGCTGTAGGCTATGGGCTATGGGCTGTAGGCTATGGGCTGTAGGCTATGGGCTATGCGCTGTATGCTATGGGCTATGGGCTCTAGGCTATGGGCTATGGGCTATGGGCTCCAACAGCCTCAAATGAATCACTCCTGTCTAGGTGGAGTCCTACAGCTCGTTCTGTGGTGGGCTTCCTGCTCCGGAGTGTTCAGATAATCCTCTTCGCTACAAGTTCAGCTGGAGTCCTTACGGTGTCCTCCTAAACACAATGAACCCAGCTGTCTTTCTCAGAGATGGCGAGGTATGGAAGCCTCAGAGGGCCATAAACAGTATTTAATCTTTTCTCTGCAGAATCTGCAGTTTGTCTAAAGGACAAGTCTGATGAGACTCGTGTGTTCAAGGTGGTGAGCATCCCTGCAGGTGGGACTCTGATGGATTCGGCCACAGCGATGGATTTCTTCCCAGGTTTCAGCTTGGAGGGATTTCCAAACCGCGACAGCACCAAGTACGCCGAGCCGTATGGCATCCAGACGGCACACACACTCATCAGGGGAACCCTGCGCTTCAAGGTACGGTGGCTACACTATGTGGAAATTTCTCTGCCATAATTTGAGAGCACACAGATTTTCAGTCTGAAGTTTTGATGTTGCTTTGATTCTTTCATGCATGTTTGAGAAATCCGTTAATCTCCATGCCAACCATCTGTGTGTGCAATCCTAAATGCTTGCTCATACAGAGAGTTACTTTTTCCATGCAGCTCCTCCTTGGAGCTGGAATCTCCAGTCGAGCAGCCCCCACCCATGACTCCCCCACTCAGCCCCTTCAGACTTGCAGCAGCACCAATTAGCAAACACCAGGTGAAATGCCTTTCTGCTGAGCTAATCATATTAGCCACTTCTCGGTACAACACTGAGTAAAAATGAGAATGTCAATCAAGGTGAGGTCTGAGGACAGAACCGTGGGACTGAGTCGGTTCTTTCCTCATAATGCCATCTATTTTTTTGAAGTGCACCAGTTCCTCCTGCAGCAAAACAGCCCCGTAGCATGATGCTGCCACCTCCATGCTTCTCTGTTTGGACCCAGAAGTTGCCTCATTGTTATGACAGTTGGACATTCCCATTCCGGCCATGCCTGCCTTTATTTGAACAGATGAGCCTGTCTGCACTGTAGGGACGTAAAATCAGGAGTTTACAAAAACTATTACAAATTATTTAAATCCACTATAACATCTGTATGTAAACTTCTGGTTTCAGCTGTTGGTGAATTTCAGGATGACCGTTGTATAAATATAAAGAGAAATTTACATTAGGATGTAAATGGTGTTTTGTCAACACATTTTGTTTTCGGTAAGTACTTCTTAGTTTCTTTCTTGGCATTTCCTGGACTTCCTGTCTGTTTAACAGGTGAGTAATGTCCTGTTTTAGGCCTTATACTCATAAAATTACTAAAAGCAGCCTGTAGGTTCAGCGCTGATGGAGATGGTCCTCTGGCTGTTTCTGGTTGGTTTTGACTCCTGTCAGTGTTTGTCTCTCATCAAGTTTCTGTTGTGTTCATAGGGCTTCTCCAAAGCCATGGGTGGCTTTGTTAAGCTGGGACTGATCAACACTGACCCCAATCCTGTCCTCCTGCACCCTACGTCTACCATCTCCTGGGTATGAATCGCTCCAGCAAATGGTTCATAAGCAGTTCTCTGCTCTGTGCTCCGTTTTAGTTTAATTAATGTTTTCTATCTCATCAAATGACAGAAGTCTACTGCTGCCAACACTTGTTTATCAGTATCAAGGCTGCAGTGAACAGAGGCTTCTCATACTCATGACTTAAAGGCAAATAGTGTTAGCTTTTATGCTTGTGAGAGTTCGATATTTTCAGGATGTTTACCAGCCATCAAGTGGTTGATAGATTTTTCATCCTGCCACTAATCTGCCTGAAAACACTCCAGTCTTTTCTTTTGAGATGAGATGAAAAATGAAAGAGGTAAAATAAATTAGCACACTTAGAAATGTAGGCATGGAGGCTGGGTAAAAAGAGTTAAGAGACCATTGATGAACTGAAGAGGAGCACAGACAGAAAATTATATGTACTATAAGTTTAAAATCGTTCAAGTGCTGAAGAAAATAAATAAACATTTTACTGCTTGTTCATTTCCTTTCTTGTGTGCAGAAAGAACTCCTCTGTCATCAGATGGGCTTGTCCTCCTCCATGTCCCCAGAAGCTTTTGAGGAAGCAGTCTATAAGCAGGTTGGAGAGGACCAGTTCAGAATGGACACCTTGAGATGGTGCGACACCAACATAACAGCTCCACACACATTCACTGACCAGTAAACAGGCCAGTCCAGTTGGTCACCCAGAAAACATGATCTAACCTAGATGATAGAATGTTGCTTTACATGGAAACAAGTGAAGCTAATGCTCCACTCAGTTCAGAACTTCATCACTGGTATGAATGTCATATTCATTTGGGCTATGAAGGCCTATTGTAATTCAAATGTTTATTATCATTTTGTGAGAAAATAAATTGACTGTTTGGAGGCCAAAACATATTCAGAATCACTAAACTTTTCACAAATTTACATATTTTAAGGTTTTCATAAAAGTAGCACCAAAACTACTCAACAGCCCCCCCCCCCCTCCCCAACTTTTCAAAACATATTTCCCATTGACCTTACTTTATGACAGTGGTTCCCAAACTTTTTCTCCTGGGCCCCCCCTATGGATTTACAAGTGGGAAGAGTTAGACTCTGGCTCTCTGGTCGAATGATGTATGTTAGCGGGGGGGAATTCTTAGAGACTCCCTGTTAGACTCTTCCATTCACTCAAACACCCCCCGCCCCCTCCAGCGTGCACAGCGTTCGTTTTTTTGTTTTTTTTCTCATTCATCCATACCACTTCCCGCGCTCCCTCTGCAATGGCATGGCGCGCCCCACAGTTTGGGAACCTCTGCTTTATGATAAGGCCAAGACCCATCCTCTACACCAAACAGGAAGTCAATAATCTCGGATTTAAATTCCAATTTTTACCCCATTCTGGCCATTTATAGTCTGGGCATTTGAACAAACTTCTAGAGACTTCAGTCGATCGGTTTCAAACTTGGTCAGTTTGCTCATAAGGCATGAGGGCTTAAAAACTGATCAAAACAGTGAGCTTTCAAGTATGTTGAAGGAGTGTGGCCAGTCCTCAAAGTCTCACATCTCATCATGAGACACAAACATCTTATATCTCAAACACCAAAACTCACTTAGACACCAAACCTTAAGGGATTGATCCACATCCAGTCTCCTAAAATACTCCATAGTGAAATCATGATATCACTTAAGCAACGCTTCCTGACAACAGGTAGTGTAATTTTTTATTTCGAAAGGTCGACATCTGACCCCTGTGACCTAATCAAGATAACATTGTGCCCACTGACAGAAGACATGTTTGTGGCTTCCAGCACTGACAGTGTTGCGCTGTGGCAAAGTCGAATGTCAAGCCGTCCCCCCAACAGGAATGCGTGGCCAAATTCTTCCACAGCCTCCTTAAAATCAGCCCCAAACCATGCTTTG